GTTGTTTCTTTAATCGCAGCGCAACAACTTAGCGGAAATTTTAGTACTATACAATATCTCGATGTATTATTTAGGAAAGCAACAATTAGTATTGATTCGAATGTGGCGACTATTATTGTTTTGGCTGTTGGTCTCGTATCTGGTAGTTTGGCCACTATAACAGTGGAAGCTGCAGGAAGACGATCACTTTTGATGATTTCTACATTTGGATCATTCCTTACATTAGCTATTCTAGCGATTTATTTTATGCTCGATATTAAAGGTATCGATGTTTCCATGGTCAATTTTCTTCCCGTCATTGACGTAATCTTTTTTCAGATAGCATTTCAAATAGGTTTAGGTGTGTTACCTAATGCTCTTATTGGTGAATTATTTCCTACGGAAGTAAAAAGTGTTGCAGGTGCCATCGTTACAATTTTCGATGGTATACTTGGTTTTATTGTGTCAAAACTGTATCAAGTTATTGGTGACAGTTTTGGATCGCATACGGTCTATTATTTCTTCTCGGCATCTTGCTTATTAGCTTTTTTCAATGTAATGTTATTCGTGCCAGAAACAAAAGGTAAGACATATCGCGAGATTCAAGCGCTTTTAGCTGGGAAGGAATTGAATTCTTCAAATGAGAGAGTCAAAAATGACGACAACGATGTTATATGATACGAAGAATTACACCATAAATGTGAATCACAATCTCTATTTTTGTGCAATTTTTTATTTCTTGATTTTATTAGAAATATTTTAATGTTGGACTTAATGACTTAATGTTTACAGGATATTATAATTTTGTTTACGTGTATGCGTAATAAAAAAGTTTATAATAAAAATAATACTTTAATATCAATATTTGTAACTTAAGAAATAAATTGAATCATATTAGTTTTAGAATAATAAATAATTTTAAATTAATATATTTGTTATATTTTATATAACTATTCCTAACATGTTACTTTAAATTTTATTTTAAGTTGAAAAATCGTAACAAACAACATTTATTTTGAATAGATAAATAGTTATTTCTAATTTAGTTGGCGTTACTAATCGCAATCTATTTCCTTCAAAAACAGGAAAAATAATGATGCGGTCGGAATGACACTATATTAATCTCAATCAGATTATGTATTTTAGACATTTGTGGCAGATTTTGCGGCTTTTAGAAAAACTATTTTATCCTGTTAAGTTTGTATATAAAGTCATGATTTAGCTACAATTTCTAATAGAACGATATTAACAGTTCAAATCAGAATATTCTTTTTTATTCTGTATTTCATTGTAAGTTGTAATTAAAATTTGATGAAATTTAAATATTTCGTGAAACAATCATCATATAAAAAATTTATACAAAACGGCACTTATTCGTAAACTTGTCACTTGTAGAATAGTAATTAGTTTCGTTTATTTGCTTTTTCTTCATTCGACATTAGAACTATCAACGAAAATGGCGTCTAATAAGTCGGGTATTTTATATCTATTTGATCGACCTTCTGAACCAGTTTACGTCCCTAAGGGAGACAATAAAGTGGCTTTTGATATCCCACCTGATTATTTGGTAAGTAATATATTTCATATAAATTATTATTTAAATATTATTTGAATTAAGAAAACTAATTTTAAAAATTAATTAAATGTTAATTAAAAAGTAAAAAAAAAAAGAATAAATAAATAAATATAAAATTTGAAATTGAAAGCAATAATTAAAAAAATATAATTATCATATTATATACTCAATGAAATATCACAATTTTAAAGATATTCAATGATATTTTAGCCTGATAGATATCGTTCTGTGGCTACTCAAGTATTTAATCGTTTCGGCGATGATGTAGAATCGAAACTTCCAGTGAAGGCAATTACTCTTCCTGATCTTAGTATTCCAATGCAACTTGGACGTCGTCAGCCTTTTTCACTATTTATTCCGGCACATCGAAAAATAGCTGCTCGATTAATTGATATTTTTATGGGTATTTTTTTTCTTTCTATTTTCTATCTCTTTTGTTTCTTTTTTATTGATTATTTTTTATTATAAAGTTTGATCTATTCATTGTTAAACTGTTTATCAATTAAGATCTTAATTAAAATTAAAATTATCTTAGCATAGAAGCATATATGCTACATTTTCAATCCTTATGTTCGTTTCAATGTTTAAAATCGATCTTCCAAATCAATATTCTATAGATTTTTTAAATAAAATATTTTGTATTTTATATTGCAGGTATGCGAACATATGAGGACTTCCTGTCTGTTGCAGTTTATTGTCGCGATCGTTTAAATCCAAATATGTTTATTTATGCCCTATCAGTGGCGATACTTCATCGTCCTGATACGAAAGATCTGCCAATACCACCACTTACCGAAGTATTTCCAGACAAATATATGGATAGTGGAATATTTTCCAGGGCTAGAGAAGAAGCTAATGTTGTGCCTGAAGGTGCTAGAGTATGTATAAATATATTGTAAATTGTAAATTATAAAATTCAGATATCAATGTAAATAAAAATATTTTATTTGTTCACAAAATATTTTTTAATAGGTTCCAATCGAAATTCCAAGAGATTATACCGCATCAGATCTTGATGAGGAACATCGTGTTGCTTATTGGAGAGAAGATATTGGAATTAATCTTCATCATTGGCATTGGCATTTGGTGTATCCATTTGAAGGTGACATAAGAATTGTTAATAAGGATCGACGTGGAGAACTTTTCTATTATATGCATCAACAGATTATAGCTAGGTAAATATTTGCTAAAAATATTTAAAATATACAAAAAGTTTAAATCTTAAATGAATGCAATAATCTGAATATATAAATGGTATTTCATTTAATTTAAAACAAATTTAATATTTTTAGATATAATTGTGAACGGCTATGTAATCGTCTTGGACGAGTAAAACGATTCATTAATTGGCACGAACCGATTCCGGAAGCTTACTTCCCGAAATTAGATTCTCTTGTTGCCAGTCGAACATGGCCATTTCGACCCAGCGGTACTGTCCTTAAGGATATCAATCGACAAGTTGATGAATTAAACTTTGACATTCAGGATCTAGAAAGATGGCGTGATCGTATTTACGAAGCAATCCATACAGGATCTGTAATTAATACCAGAGGCGAAAGAATTCAATTGACTGAGAAAAATGGAATCGATGTCCTAGGAAATATCATGGAAGCTAGTATTCTTTCTCCCAATCAGAATGTCTATGGTGATCTTCATAATTTTGGTCATGTCGCCATTTCTTATATCCATGATCCAGATCATCGATATTTGGTAAGCATATAATATCGAAGCATATATATTTTATAATTTTTAAATTAATAAATAATAGAATTATTATACCAAATATGATTTTCAATATTAGTAAATAAATATTTAATAACAATTTTAGGAGAGTTTTGGTGTTATGGGTGATTCAGCAACTGCTATGAGAGATCCCATATTTTATAGATGGCATGCATTTGTTGACGACGTCTTTCAGGAACATAAAAATACATTACCTCAATATACTGTACAACAGGTTAAATTTATTTTAACATTACATTTTTCTTATCATACAAGTTACATTATGATTAATACACATTATCATAAAATGTGTATTTATATGTATAGATAAAATATATTTTTTTATTGTCTACAGTTAGACTTCCCAGGTATCGAAATAGCAGATATCAAATTAACAACCAATCAACAACGCAATATTTTAAATACCTTTTGGACCAAAAGTGACGTAGATTTGTCACGCGGACTCGATTTCACTCCACGTGGCGCAGTGCTTGCTAGATTTACTCATTTGAATCATGCTGATTTTTCATATACGATTGTTATTAATAATCGTAATAATACATCAATGAGAGGCACGGTCCGTATCTTTATAGGTCCTAAAGAAGACGAGCGTGGATTACCGTTTACTTTCAGAGAACAGAAGAATTTAATGATCGAATTGGATAAGTTTCCTGTAACACGTATGTGTTAAAAATATATATATATATATTTACAATTTTAAATTATTAACTCAATTATTAACTTAAAAATGTTATGAAATTAGTATGAATATCTTGTAATTGAAATATAATTCATTATTACGCTATAATTTAACTTCTGCATGTAATATACATAAAATACGATGTATATGTTATTTTTCTATTTATTTGATTTTAGTTCAACCAGGAAGAAATACGATTGAACAGAAATCTACAAAATCTTCAGTAACTATACCATTTGAGAGAACTTTCCGCAACTTAGATGAAAATAGACCAACAGGAGGTGATAATTTGGAGCGGTTCGATTTTTGTGGATGCGGATGGCCGCAGCATATGCTTGTACCAAAAGGAATAAGGAAGGTTTTGCAATGGAACTTTTCGTCATGGTATCAGATTATAAAGATGATCGTGTATGTATCTTATATTATATTAATATTATATTAGATTAATAAGTGGATTTCTTAAAAACATTAATTCTAATTTTTTATATTGCACAATATATAGGTTGCACAGGATGAGCCAATTGGTTGCAAGGATGCCGCAAGTTATTGTGGATTGAGAGATAGAAAGTATCCTGATGCACGAGCAATGGGGTATCCATTTGATCGTCAACCTCGTGCAGGTGTTGAAACTTTAGCTCAGTTCCTCACCGGAAATATGGCGGTAACTGAAGTAACAGTTCGATTTACTGATACGGTTGTACCTAGATCTAGATCTGGAAGTATGGGCAACACTTTAACCTTTATGTAATCTATGAGATTGAATATCTTTTGACATGGCAAATTATTGGATCAAGATTGTTGGAATTATAATATACTTAAGATCATTAATGATTGATTTTTTACTTTTTAATATTTTAATTGTATTTTTTATTATCTATTGTATAAATCTATTGTAATAAAATAAAAAAAAAATAAATGAACAATTAAAATGAAAATGTGATTGAATTTAATAATAATAAGTATTTGTTACTTTAAGATCCAGAGGATTATACAAAAAATTTTTAATAGACAAGAGACAACTAATATTTTTAAATTATTTATTTTATGCTTTAGATCTAAGTACTATGTCATATTTTATCTACAAAATTGGAGCGTATAAATTGTTACAATTCTTACAATTAAGACATTTGTGCAAACCTTGTAACAACTACTACACAAATTGTTATAACACGCAATACTCCTCGATAAGCAAATGTAGCTTAACGAGATATAATTACAACAAATAATGTCAAAAAGACTTTAAGAAAAAGAGGTGCCACGTATCCAAAAGGAATTAGATTTCATTTATATTTTTGGCATCCCTATTCTCAGAAACAAGAACGAACAATAAAATAGAGATGCCGATGTTTGCCAAAATTTTGGCAAGTTATAAGATATGAAAACAAATTTTTTCGTTTCGATACTGCGAATATTAAACATCAATGATTCGATAGTTGAAAAGTCATTTTTTAAATATTATCAAGAAGCTGACTAGCTGCTCAAGATTCAATTCTAGTGACTAACAGAGTTAGTCATGTGAGATTGCCGCGATTATAAATAGATCTCCAAATTCGGCGGATAGTTAGTTATTTAGAAGTCTGCATGCGTGATGTTTTATAAAAGTATTCTTCAAGTTTGAATAAATTTTGTACATGAATCGGTATCATTATTTTATTCCGATTCTTTTAATAGTACATTCTCTCATGATGAACGTCCTACTACATAACAATGTCAAAGCGTAATTACACTTTCCCGACCTGCTCCCACTCCAATCCACTTAACTGAAACAATAATAATTAGAATTTTTAATATATTTCAATTCAACATTAAAAAAAATTTATAGAGAAAATAAAAAAATTACCTGGTACACCAAGATGTTCTTCTATTAGTTGTATATATTTTTTTGCATTAGGAGGTAATTTTTCTAAAGAACGTACACCTTCTGTTGTTGATTGCCAACCATCGAGAGTTTCATAAATTACTTCTACTTTTACCAAGTCAGAAGTGGTACTTGGAAAATAATCAATTTCCTTTCCATTTAATCGATAACCTACACCAATTTGAATTTTTGGAAGCGTATCTAAAATGTCTAATTTTGTTAGACATATTGACGTATATCTGTTAAATAAAAATAAATAAAATTCTAAATGTAAAGAGATAATTAAATTCGTTTAATCAAATGTTTTTATAACAATATTTCTTACCCATTAACCATTGCAGTGAATTTAAGAAGAGTTAAATCTAGCCAACCGCAACGTCTTTTTCTATTTGTTGTAACACCAATTTCATGCCCTCTCCTTTGTAAAAGCTCGCCTGTAGCATTCAAAAGTTCTGTAGGGAATGGACCATCACCAACTCTTGTAGTATACGCTTTAACGACACCAACAACTTCTCCGATATAAGACGGTGGTAGTCCAAGACCGGTACAAACACCACCTATACTGCAGTTAGAACTCGTAACATAAGGATATGTTCCAAAATCTATATCTAGCATCGCAGCATTTGCACCTTCTACTAATACTTTTTTTCCTTCGCGTAATGCTTGATGTAAATACTGAACGGTTTCTTTTACTAACGGTCTTATTCTTTCTGCATATCTGAAAATAATTAATATAAATATGCTATTTCTGCTAAATATTATTTTTTTTTAAACGATGGTTTTTAATTTAATACAGTTCATCTTATAATATT